TGGGCCCACAGTGGGATCTTCCAGATCCTTCCAGGGTGCCATGGGACCAGCCTGGGGACTCCCTTGAACCGGGCTGGGGGTTGCCTTGGCAGCAGGATGGGCTTCGGTGTGGAAGAATCTTCCCAGTGCTCACCTCAGAGCTCAGGCTGAAGGCAGCAGTGCGTGGGAAGAAGGGGCCTCTAGCGCATCCATGGCACTGGGGAATCTGAGGGGATGGGAAAGCAAACGGAGAAGCAGCAGATGCTCTGCAGCACGAGGAGGGCTTAAGAGCCTGACTTTGGGCAGCGGTGCTCTGCAAACTGTTGGGAAGCAGCAGGAAATTCTGCCAGTGGTTCCCTGGGAAGTTCCTTTGGAAGCTCTGGCCATGTTCCTTGGCCTTCCTCCCATTGAATGCCTTTCTCTTCCAGATGGCGTCAGCAGGACCTGTTGTGCGTGAGCTTCCATCTCTGGGGTAAGAACACTTCCTTGCCCTGCACCCCTGGCTCTGTAGTGTGGCCTCAGCTGCCTGCACGCTCTTTGCATGCCTCCTTCCTCCCATCTGTATGGTGGAAGGCAGCCCTTGGCAAAGCGAAGGAGCAAAAGGGGCTGGGGGATAAGGATAACTTTGGTTGCAAGTGCAAAATTTGGTCTTGTCCTCTGATATTTTGGGGAGAAAACCTGTGGTAGTTGTAAGAAAATGGGTATTTCTGGGAGAAAATATCCTATTTTTGGAAGAAAAGGTCAGCTTTCCGACTGAAATGTGGTATTTCTGTGAGAAAATGACCTACTTGTTGGAGCAAAGGGGGAAATTCTGGGAAGGAATGTCTTCTATTTGAGAGCAACTGTCTTCTTTTTGGAGTGCAAACTGGTCCTTTGGGGAGAAAATAGGGTCTATATGGGAGAAAATGTCCTCTTCAGGAGTGTAAAGTAGTACTTTTGAGAGAAAATGGAAGGTATTTCTCAGAAAACTGCAATTTCTGGGAGAAGACAGCATGCTTTGTTGGAAAATGACATCTATTGGTGAGAAAGCGGGGATTTTGGGGAGAAAATGCCGCATTTTAAAAAATAAGCTGGTATTTCCGGGGGAATGTGTCCCATCTTTGTTAGAAAACTGGAGTATCTGATGTCAAATGTCATTTTGATGGGAGTGAACGTGGTATTGAGGAGTGTAAAGTAGCGCTCTTGGGTTGAAATGTGAGGTATTTCTAAGGGTACTGGTATTCCTGGGAGAAAACGTCTTGTTTCTGAGAGAAAATGTCGTCGTATTTTGGGGGGAGAAACTGGTATTTCTGTGATAAAATGCCCTATTTCTGGGAAGAAGTGTCCTATTGAGGAGTGTGAAGTCGTATTTTTGGTAGAAAATGGGAGGCGTTCCTAAGAGAACTGGTATTTCTGGGAGAAAATGTCTTATCTTGGGGGGGAAAGTTCCTATGTCTGTGAGAGAACTGTGTTTCCGGGAGAAACTGTCTTCTTTAGGCAGAAAAGATCACATATTTGCGAGAAAGCTGGTATTTCTGGGAGGAAATATCATATTTTTGTTGGAAAATGTCACATTTGCTACTGCCATGTAGTATTCTGTGGATGAAACATGCAGTATACCTAAGAAAACCTGTATTTCTGGTAGAAAACGTCATCCCTTTGGGGAGAAGACTGGTATTTCAGGGAGAAAATATCCTTGTTTGGGGAGAAAGTGTCCTATTTTTGATGGAAAAGTGCTACTTGTGGGAGCAAATGCCACGTATTTGGGTGAAGGGTGGGATTTTGGGAGGAAATACCGTATGTTTGGAAGAAAGTGTCCTCTTTCAGATTGAGATGTGATGCTTGTGGTCGAAACTGTCCTACGTTTGGGCAAAAACTGGTATTTCTGGGAGATGATGTCATTTTATTGGAGCAAGCCATTATTTCGGGGAGAGAAGGTCTTATTTTTGGAAGAAAATGTGGTACCTGGGGGGGGGGGAACTGGCATTTCTGGGAGAAAATGTCATCTTTTGGGGAGAAGATGTCACCCTGAGGATTGTCATACTGTCGTATTGTTTGGAGAAGGCCTGAGGTATTTGTAAGAAAAGTGGTATTCCCAGGAGACAGTATCATATTTGGGGAGTGGGGGAGGGGTCATCATCTATGTGGGAGAAAGCTGGTATTTCTGGGAGAAAACATCCTCTATTGAAGAGCCAAGGGGTATTTCTGGCAGGAAACGTCCCACGTTTGGGAGTCAAGTGGCATTTCTGTGATAAACGCCGTATTGTTGGGAGTAAGTGTCATATGAAGGTGTGCCAAGTAGTCTACTAGGGAGGAAATTGGAGGTACTGCTTTGAAAGCTGGTATTTCAGGGAGAAAACGTCTTCTCTCTGGGGGAAAATGTCATCTGTTTGAGAGAATGCTGATAAGTCTGGAAGAAGATCTATTTTTGGAGGAAACTGTAATATTAGGGAGAGAAAAGTGGTATTGCTGGTCCAAGGTGTCATTGAGTTGGGATAACGCTGGTGTTTCTGGGAGAAAATATCCAAAATATTTTGGATGAAAATGTGGTCTTTGGGGTTGAAATGTGGTATTTCTGGGAGGAAATGGAATATGCATGAGAGAAAACTGTTCCTTTGGGGAGAATGTATCCTATTTTTGGCGGAAAATGTCCTGTTGAACAGTTTAAGTCTGCATTTTTTGGAGAAAATGTAAGTTATCAAGAAAACTGGTATTTCTTGGAGATTATCACATGTTTGGTTGGAAAACGTGGTATATTTGAGAGAATGCTAGGGATGCTCTGGGAGAGCATAGCATATAGTTTTAAGAGAACACAGAGTACTGAGAGGAAATGTCATCGTTTTTTGGTGAAAAAAAACATATTTAGGGGAATAGAATCGTGTTTCTGGAAGAAAAAGTTAGAAAACTGGTATTTCTGGGAGAAAATGTCATACATGAGGGAGAAGAACGGTATTTCTGTGAATGAAGGCCATCGAGAATTTCTGCATTTTCCCCTTTTTTTTCCCCTTTTTTTTCCCCTTTTTTTTCCCCTTTTTTTTCCCCTTTTTTTTCCCCTTTTTTTCCCCTTTTTTTTCCATGCATGATTTGGATCAAACTTGCCAAAGATATCAGAAACTCCAAGAAACTGAGCCAGCTGCAAAAGTTGACAACATGAATGCATTGCAACTCAAACCTCTTTCTACTAAGCCTTCTTCAGACAGTATGAATTCCAAGAAGGTTGCCTGAAACTTATCATTGAGGAGCTGCCTACTGATGCAATGAGAAAAGTAGAACAAAACTACATGCTTGATTGAGACTGTACTCAATCAATCAATCCTACAGCCTCACACCACGTCTGCAAAACTATCTGCAAGATGAAAAAACAGCCAAACCGAAAACAAAGATACATTTAGTCTTTCCTCAGGTCAGAACCAGTAGTAGGTTGGTAGGTAAGACTGTGAGAACAAGTTAAATGGGTAGTAATACTTCTCCATGATGTTTCCATATATTTACATGAGATTTTCATTCATACATAGGTTAAGAATTTCCTGAGACAAAAGTTTCCCGGATATTTATTCCGTTGCCTTCCCTCCTTCTTCAAGAAATTCCCCAAGTTAATTGCGTTCAGGATGAGGAGCCACCTCTTCTTATTTATTCCAAAGCTGTCACTTTCTAGTTATTTCATAGCTACCATTGTCTAGTTTTATTTGACGTACCACAATTCTGGTGTTGGAAAATACAGTGAACCATAATTTCCTATCGAACTTTTCTAAATTATTTGTATTTTATTAGAGCTCTATAATATTGCATTTAAACCATGTATTTTGCAAGCTGAAAAGTCCTTTATTAACTGCTTGTGAAGACATCCTGTAGGGAACTTGCTTTATCAGGGGGCTTGGAGCAGATGGGCTCCAGAAGTCCCTTTTCAAACCCTACCATTCTGTAATTTTATAATTCTTTGCCTTTGTTCGTTCCAGTTTTTTGGTGTTTGTTTGTTTGTTTGTTTTTATCGGAATTATTTCCAGTTCTATTATGTCTTTCTGGAGTGGAGATCAGAAATCCAGGCATTGTATTCATAAGGGATGGGATCCATCTTGAGTTAAGTCACCTAAAGATGTTTTTATCCTTATTACTCTACTAATTATTCAGAATAATTCAACCACGTTTCTGACGTAATAGAGCACAGAGTGGATATTTTCATGGAATTACCTAAAGTAAGCCAAGACCACATTTCCCAGTAGTCATACTTAGCGTTTGGTCCTTTATAATTCGTGCCAAGACAGGCTGTCTCCCTTTGCCTTACTTCAGTTTTACTTACAATGAATTTCACCTGTTGCTTAGTTATCCAGCCTATTTCTTTACAATTGCTCCTGTAGATCTTGGCTCCAGTTTTCATTAGTCACAGAATCTAAATGCAAGGTGTAAGATCGTTTGTACTCCAAATAATTACTCTATTGTAGCTTAAATTGTCATACACTGCAAATGCAAATAAATGTAACTGATAATTTGATAGATAAAAGATGGAGGGCTAAGTTGAACTCATGTCTGTGGCAGAAAATTTGCATAGGTACAGATTGTTATCCTCTTCCTGTTTCTTTTCCAAGAGAAGAGAAATTGGAATATTGATATGTTGTGAGTGACAGCATTTGTGCTGCTGCTGGCCAGGGAGAGTGAATCTGGCAGTGCTCAGATTCCTTCCAGTCCAGCGATTCCTCCACATGGAACAGTGTCCGACTTGAGTAAAAAGGGGTTTTTGGTGGTGGTGGTGGTAAGGAGAAATACAGAAATGAAGGGAAGGGAAAGGAAGGGAAGGGAAGGGAAGCACTGAAGTAACAGTGGGAGAGCTAAATGAAAAAGAATACAAGGAAAACCAACATAGAATGTTTTAGCAGGGAGCAAATTTTGTTGTTGTAGAGGGAAAATTGCATAAAAGTGGACACCAAAGCCAAGGTGCTTCTATCCACTGTGCTCATAAGAAAACATTCTTCTGTAAATGATTAAGGCCTCCCATTCAAGACATTTTACCTACACCCATAGTAAAGAGTAAAAGATTGCCATCCAGGTTGACAGAAAAAAATCATAATCCTTGCTATGCTTGAAGATGTGATAAAAAGGCCATTTCCATTGCTTCTTCACTAGAAACCAAATGAGAAACAAACAAAATGTCTCCAAGGAGGACATCTCTCTTGCCTCCAAAGTCTGAAAGATTCCCAAAGATAGCTGAGAGCTACATGGTTGTCCAAACTGCCTTTCCACACTGAATTGCCTATATTTGCCTGTGAAATTATGGAAGGTCCTTTAAGCCATTGTTTTGTCAAATCAGGGATCTGCAAGGAAAAACAAATCTTACTAAATTTTGAAATTACCAATGTCGTTGCAGGTCTTCAAAACGTCAAAAGAACAGACATGGAAAAAAGCATTTCACAGTGAATTCATCAACAAAAGGAGTGTGTGCTGGTGACAGTTGTGAAATACATGTGCATTTTTACTGAAATAGGCTAAGTTGATAGCAGGATTTTTGAAGAGTAAGGAGATGAGCTATAGGTGTCAGATGATCAATAAAAGATGAGAATGCTTTTAGGATTAGCATCAGAAAACTGTTACAAGGCAGTACGAGTGAAAGAAGAGATGCAACCTTCGTATGAATATGATATGGACAAATACACAAAGGCGCCGTTGCACACCTGTAGCTGCTCTTTTATTTCCTTCATGCTTTCACTCTGCACCATTTTTCCCCTGCTCTGAGTGAGAGACATCTGAGTCAAGTGTGCTGAGTTAAAAACATTCTGGTGCAACCTTAAATAATCACTGGGATGGGTCAGACAACCCACTAGATCCCAGGCCCATGGACCCAGAGAAAGAACCCAATCCATCTCCTGCAGATGAAACAGCTGCTACTCTGAGTAGTCTTTCTTGTATTTCTGCAGTCTCTGCTAGGATCCTTCATTAGAAAGACGCAGTCTCAAAAGGTAATACACAAAGCAGGTCTGATACCTTATTTCATGCATGATGTCTTTTTTCTTTTCTTCCCTAAAGATAAATTCATCCTCTTTCTTCACTTCTCAGATCTCACACAGAGACATTTTTAGCATCTATCACTATTAGTAAGCTATAAATGGGCAGATATGGGGAACAAAGTAGGTACCTCAGCAGGTAAGCATTTTTCCCCTACTCCAGGGAAGGTGATGGAGCTGATTGTCTTGAGGGAGACCATGCGGCACGTGTGGGGTGACCGGGGGGGGGATCAGGCCCAGCAGCATGGATTTGTGAAGGGCAGGTCCTGTTTGACCAACCTGATCTCCTTTATGATGCGGTGACCCATCTGGTGGATGAGGGAAAGGCTGTTGATGTGCTCTACCTAGACTTCAGCAAAGCCTTTGACACCATCTCCCACAGCATCTCCTGCAGAAGCTGGCAGCCAGAGGCTTGGATGGCTGCACTCTTGGCTGGGTGAGGAGCTGGAGGGCCGGGCACAGAGAGTGGTGGTGAATGGAGTCAAATCCAGCTGGCGACCGGTCGTGAGCGGTGTTCCCCAGGGGTCGGTGCTGGGCCTGTCCTCTTCAATATCTTTATTGATGACCTGGATGAGGGCATCGAGTGCAGCCTCAGTAAATTCACAGATGACACCAAATTGGCTGGAAGTGTGGATCTGCCTGGGGGTAGCGAGGCCCTACAGAGGGACCTGGACAGGCTGGAGAGCTGGGCTGAAGCCAATGGGATGAGTTTCAACAAGGCCAAATGCTGGGTCCTGCACTTCGGCCACAACAACCCCAGGCGACGCTGCAGGCTTGGGGCGGTGTGGCTGGAGGACGGCGTAGAGGAAATGGACCTGGGGGTATTGATGGATGCTGGGCTGAACATGAGCCACAGTGTGCCCAGGTGGCCAAGAAGGCCAATGGCAGCCTGGCTTGCATCAGAAACAGCGTTGCAAGCAGGAGCAGAGAGGTGATTGTTCCCCTGTATTCAGCACTGGTGAGGCCGCACCTCGAGTGCTGTGTCCAGTTTTGGGCCCCTCACTGCAAGAAAGATATTGAGGCCCTGGAACGTGTTCAAAGGAGGGCAACAAAGCTGGTGAGGGGTCTGGAACACAGGCCATATGAGGAGAGGCTGAAGGAGCTGGGAATGTTCAGCCTGGAGAAGAGGAGGCTCAGGGGAGACCTCATTGCTCTCTATGACTGCCTGAAGGGAGGCTGTAGTGAGCTGGGGGTCGGCCTCTGCTCTCGTGTCATCAGTGATAGGACCAGAGGGAATGGCTTCAAGCTACAGCAGGGGAGATTCAGGCTGGACATGAGGAAGTATTACTTCTCAGAAAGGGTGGTCAGGCAGTGGAATGGATGCCCAGGGAGGTGGTGGAGTCACCAAGCCTGGGGGTGTTCAAGGAAAGGCTGGATGTTGTGTTGAGGGATGTGGTTCAGTGGGAGCTGTTGGTAAGAGGTGAACGGTTGGACTGGAGGGGCTTTGAGCTCTGTTCCAACCTCAGTGATTCTGTGATTCTATGATTCTAAGTGCAACACTTTGCACTTGATTTTGCTGAACATCATTACTTTCTTGTGGGAAAAATTTTCAAGCCTGTTCAAATCCTTCCAGGTGGCATCCCTTTCTTCTGTTATATCACCTGTACCACTTGATGTTGTGTGCAAACTTGCTGAGGGTGCACTTGATCCCATCATCTATGTCTATTAATAAAGTTGTTAAAGAGCACTACTCCCAAGAGATACTACTGGAAGTCGCTACTCCTCACCAGCCTCCACCTGTTGACCACAACCCACAGGCTGTGACTTTTGAATCAATTCCTTATCCACCAAATAGTTCACCCTTTGAATCCATAACTCTCCAGTGTAGAGATAAGGTTGTGAAATGAGACCACATCAAAGACCTTGCAGATGTTCAGATCACACAACCCTTCGCTGACTTGTTTGAACTCAATCATTTTATCACTTCATAGTTATGCTGTGTATTGCTACAGTTGTTGAAAAAAGGACTGATTACTAAGGAATACTCCAAAATATTCCAGCACTTAAAGTATGAGACTTCACCAAGCACTGCAAAAAAACTGGGCTTTGTAATTCTCTGGTTCATCCAATTTGCACGTGTAGGACAGATTTGGGTTTTGCTAAACTGCATGAATGAGGGAATATTTTACTCCATACACAATTGTATGTTTCACAGTTTAGATTCTTGCAAGGCTTTCTATAGGTCTCCTTTGAGACTCTGAATTAACAGGCTAAATAAAAGGTTTTGCTTCATGAAATATATTAATACCTTACAAGTAGGTATTTCTGTTCTTTCACAGTTCCCTGAATGAGTACATTCTGGTACACAGACATTGTTCTTTGTTTCTTCGGGATTATGGGAGGAAATGTGCCACACAATGGGATGTGCCTGTGGAAAACACACGACTAAAAGGAGTGGTGGTGAATGGAGCTAAATGCAGCTGGCGACCTGTCACGAGTGCTATTCCCCAGGGCTCGGTGCTGGGCCTGTCCTCTTCAATATCTTGATTGATGACCTGGATGAGGGCATCGCGTGCACCCTCAGTAAATTTGCAGATGACACCAAATGGGCTGGAAGTGTGGATCTGCCTGGGGGTAGCGAGGCCCTACAGAGGGACCTGGACAGGCTGGAGAGCTGGGCTGAAGCCAATGGGATGAGTTTCAACAAGACCAAATGCCAGAATCACTGACCCTGGAGGTGTTCAAGGAATGGTTGCATTTTGTGTTGAGGAACATGACTTAGTGAGTACTATTGGTGATAGGTGGATGGTTGGATTGGATGATCTTGAAGGTCTTTTCCAACCTTGGCGATTCTGTGATTCTGTGATTCCTGTACTTCAGCCACAAAAGCCCCAGGCTTGGGGTGGAGTGGCTGGAAGACTGTAGAGGAAAAAGACCTGGGAAAAGACACTGAAGCTCTGGAGCGGGTTCAAAGAAGGGCAACAAAGAAAGTGAGGGGTCTGGAGCACAGGGCTTATGAGGAGCAGCTGAAGGAGCTGGGAATGTTCAGTCTGGAGAAGAGGAGGCTCAGGAGTGACCTCATTGCTCTCTATAACTTCCTGAAGGGAGGTTGCAGTGAGCTGGGGGTCAGCTTTTTCTTTCGTGTAACTGGTGATAGAACTAGAGGGAATGGCTTCAAGCTGCACCAGAGATTCAGGCTGGATGTTAGGAAATACTGCTTCTCTGTAAGAGTGGTCAGGCACTGGAATGGGCTGTTCAGAAAGGTGATGGTGTCACCGACCCTGGAGGCGTTCAAGGAATGTTTCAAGGATTTTGTGTTGAGGGACGTGGTTTAGTGAGAACTGTTGGTGATAGGTGGATGTTGGATTGGATGATCTTGTAGGTCTTTTCCAACTTTGGTGTTTGTGTGCTTCTGTGATACTGTGAAAGCAGTTCTGTGAGCAAGATTTATTGATGTCACATTTGAGTTTGCAGCTCACCTTCTTTGTATTGGTCATTTGGTGTTTCCAGACCTGCTTAAATTTGATTGCAGTTATGTGTTTATTTTCCAGGTGTTTTTTTTTTAATTTATTTTGTTTGTTCATTTATTTATTTCCTGTGGCATGGTCATCTTTTCAGTGTAGTTTGTAATTTGTTGTGCAACATTTCACTTCATTCTATTCTTAAATCCTCATCACTACATTGCTGTTATTAGAATGCTGACTACACTCTTTTTCACTGAAAGCAAAGCTCTGGATTTTAGTAACACTTTCTCCTTTTTTTTTTTCTTTTTCTTTTTTTCTTTTTTTTTTTTTTTTAACGTGTATGATAGTCTATCCAGAAAGCTGCTAAATCTAAGAACTTTTTGCATAACAAATTCAGTATATTGTTCAGCAATATGTTCTTGAAAGTGAAGCCGAAACATAATTCATATTCTTTGTTCCAGCAAGTTTTCAAAAGAACATTTTGAGTTCAAGATAAGTGAATGTTTGTACAGCAAGGTAAAGGTGCTTTTCATACTGCTTTCTCGTGCACACAGCTAATTTGGAAGTATGCAAAATTGTTTTAGAGGCAGAATGTTCTTGTTTCACAGTATTGCACATATGCAATCCTGCATTCAAGATGGAGGAAACCTGCCTAGGTATTTTTATTACTTGAAGAACTGTAGGAAATAAACATTGTAAGTTCTGTCTCCATTTCAAATCCTGTTATTTCAGTCTGATTTTACTCACTTTATAGTAGGCCGCTTCGTTAGTACTTGGCGAATTAAAACATTGGATAGACTGAAGTTGCTATCCATATTTTTGCCATTAATAATAATAACCATTGGAATTGTGAAACCCTGATTATTTTGATTTATTTTCTGTTCAAGTGAAACCCCCGCTGAAATCAAAGATTTGACTAAGGCTTTCAATTTTTTTCTATTTTAATCATCCACTCCTGCACTCTTTCTTACCACACCTTCCATTTTTTCGACTTCATAACCTTCATTATTTTAATATTAAGCTTTAACATGCACGCTTTATTCTAACTCTTAGCTTGCTTAGTTTATAATTAGGAAAAAAATCATGCTGAACAATAGCAAATGTGTTTATATTGTCGTTTGGAGAAACTGATAGATCCTAAGCCTTTTCACACGTACGTTTCTCATTAATTCTTACAATTTTGGAAAAAAATATATAGAAGCCTTGTAATGACAACATATTCTCATGGCAACTGGGCTTATTAGCATCTCAGTGGATATTCTTTTTCATGTATTTTATTATTTTATTTGCCTGAAGTATGCCAGCCATTTGAATCTCCGAGGCCGTGCATTAACCTACAGCTACCATCTAAACTATCACAAACTGCTGTTCTGAACACTGATTGTTCAGCAGTGTTAAGCTCAAGGAGCAGATCAATGCAAAGAATAGATTACTTTGTATTGTACTTAGTTATGTCAATATGTTGTATCTAGCATGCACTGTGCACTGCTGTAACTTTCTGAAATATCTGTAACATTCCAGTTATTTACAGTGACTTTGGAGTCTCTTTACATATAGTGAGTAAATATTATCATGAAAATTCCCCAAATATCTCTTCTGCATTCATCTGTCATGCTTTTGCTTGCTATCAAAAAATCACATGGAATGTTTATAAAGGATGTTATGTGCTGAAGGTGTATAAATTGTTTCCTTCCACGTAACAGACATGCACACTGACAATTGATTCCTGAGAAGACTATTGACAATAAAATAAGTATTTCACTGAAGTAAAACCCAATGCATGTTCAAGGTTTATAGACATTCTATTAGATATAATTCCATATAAAAATGAATTCACACTGCTAAATTTTCAGATGCAGGAAAAAAATAACTGAATGTTTGTGGAGAGTTTAACTGGTAGCAAAATACAGGTAGAAGCCCAAAAATTACATCCTAAGCTATTCCACATTATCTTCAAATCCCTTACAATCTTTCATTCTTATTCTTTAAAAGACAAATAGTACATTTTTCAGTCAAATTGACTTAATTGGTTAGGTGTTGTTAAACTCATATTCAGTGCACTGAAATGTTACAGTCTGCAATAACTTAGAACACTATTTCAACTGTATCTAAATGACATTATTGTAAGAAAAAAAAATTAGTCAAATTGTTGCTCCACCATCAGGGTTGAGGTAATAACACGTGACTATTTATAATAACAATAACAATAGTTGTAAAAAAATCTGCACTACTTCTGGGCTATGAAGACAATCTCTGTATCCAGTACAAGAATTTAGGATCAGCCTATTATTTTTATACCATGATTTATAGTACCGTCATTCAAATCCTGAACAAAATAAAACTTCACTTCTTACTTTGGCCTCTACCATCTGAAGAAAATCATTTATTTTGCGCTCAGTCATGGTATATGCACTGACACCGAGCACAGCACTGCTGTTCTTCGCTCAGTTCATACACTCAAACAGAAATAGCTTACAGTACATTTTAGACATAATGGCAGCGTAACACCAGCAGGGATTGAACTTGTGATACCTAACAAAATCATTCACTTACATTAAAATATGTAGCTCTTTTATCCAAGACTGGAGCAGACCATACCATATGAATTATACAGTTAGTATTAGTGCTGTAAAAATACTACACTGGGAATGATCTTTGCGTAGATATATTTCTATAGGACTTTGGTTTACAACCTCATTCACGTAGGAGACTAAGACACTATGCTGCTGTTAGAGAAAATAGATTTATTGTTCACAAAGAGCTACTGCTGAGGAATGTTAAAGTCACCTTTAAATCAGTAGTATTAGAGAAAAGTAAATTAAAATCTTGTGGCAAAAGTTATTCCAGGTAATCATAATAAAATAAATTAGCTATCAATTCCAAATAATGTGCTCTATCTTTTCTCTAGTAAAACATTTCTGATTGCTTACACACTGAATAGAAATAAAATATCATCCTTAAAAAAAAAAAAAACAAACAAAAAACCAACAATCTTTCCAATAATGACCTAGTTCAAGGAAAAGGAAAAGGAAGAGGAAAAGAAAAGGAAAAGAAAAGGAAAAGGAAAAGGAAAATAAAAAGAAAAAGGAAAAAGCTGGACACTGCTCTGAAACGTGGACACTCACAACTCCTTGGTGCCAGATGGATTGCATCCTGGAGTGCTAAGGGAGTTGGTGGATGTGGTTGCCAAACCACACTCCATCATCTTTCAACAGTCCTGGCTAACTGGGAATGTCCAGGTGGTCTGGAGACTGGCAGATATGAAGACCATCTTCAGAAAGGGCCAGGAAGATGATTCTGGTAGCTACACACCTATCAGTCTCACCTTGGTGCCATGGAAGGTCGTGAAACGGATAATCTTGGGAGCCACCGTGGATCAATTAAAGGTCAGCCATGGGATCAGGCCCAGACAGTATGGGTCTATGAATGGAAGATCCTGTCTGACAAACCTGATTTCGTTCTAGGACAGGGTGACCTGCTTAGTGGATGAAGGTAAGGCTGTTGATGTGGTCTTCAGTAAAGTCTTTGACACTGCCCACCACAGCATCCTCGTGGAGAAGCTGGCTGCCGTGGTTTGGATGGGCATTTGCTCTGCTGGATGAAACATTGGCTGGATGGCCGAACTCAAAGAGCTGTGGTCAGTGGAGTTAAGTCTGGTTGGAGGCCAGTCACGAGCATTGTCCCCCAGGGCTCTGTTCTAGGGCCGCTTCTGTTTAACATCCTGATTAACGATCTTGATGAGGGGATGAGTGCACCCTCAGTAAGTTTGCCGATAACACCAAGTTGGTAGGGAGTGTTGTTCTGCCAGAAGGAGGAAAGGCATTACAGAGGGACCTGAATCGATGAGCCAAGGTAAACTGTATGAGTTTCAAAAGAACCAAGTGTCAGATCCAGCATTTTGGCCACAACAACCCCAGGCAACCCCAGGCTTGGGAGGAGTGGCTGGAAAACCGCCTGACAGAAAGGGACCTTGGTGTGCTGATGGACAGTTGGCTGAATATGAGCCAGCAGTGTGCCCAGGTAGCCAAGAAAGCCAATGGCTTGTATCAGGAATGGTGAGCATTTGAAATCTGTAAGTAAACCAGGAGATGATTAGACAAGCCGCCTGGAATTTGAGGACAGTCAGTTACTGATAAACCATGATGACAGATAGCCAACAATGCTTTCAAAATATCAGTGTGCTTTCAGAATTGTTTTCAGGCACAATATTTCTAAAGACCTATTCTTATGTTTCTTATCTGTCACACTGGTACTTGTAAAATGCTATTGAGATTGTGGTTTGCAGCCTTTAACACATCAGCTAACATAATTTCATACTATATAACTAATATGCATTTAATTTCTGGTTAATGCCTTTGAATTACAGTAGTAGCACTGAGGACCATTACTGCTGATGGGCACAGAGGCCGGACACATGGGCAGCATGAAAGAAATATAATAGATGTATGGGCTTACTTAGCTACTGTCAAGTGCAGAGACACTACGATAAACATTAAACTTTACATGAGTACCAATCTAATGTTTTAGTCCATGTTATTGTAAATACTGCAAAGTAGGTTATGTAGAAGACCTGTGCTGCAGCTTTTTCACATTTCTCTAGCTGCATGGATAATTAGACTTCATGCAGGTTGAACATTGGATGGTAGAATGATCTTGGTAGA